TTAGTAGGCAATACTTTTTTTTTCTTTTTCCAGTACCAGTGATCAAACTCAGGACCTTGCACTTTCGAGGCAGCCACAGTACCACTGAGCTAAATCCCTGGCCCTCCTGGAACTCTTAAATGGGTACCTAGGTCACTTGATTCAATGCCCAAACTACCAGCCTGAACTCCTGCCTCCTTTATTTAATCATAACCAGAATGTTCTCAGACTTTCATTTGAAAATATTTTTATCTGAATTAGAATAGTTCCAATGTAAAATTATCTTTATAATATATATAGAAGCATATTCACATATAGTTAGTGCATTTTTGCATAAAATAGTTATTATAATTTTAAGTACAGTACTTAAAGTAACCCAGTTTCCTCAGCCTGACGCTGAACATGTAATTTTATTTTCATTGTTAAACATGTTAAATAAAAGAATCTGCAGTTTAGAAAAAAGAAAAAGAACAACAAAAGTACTTGTTCTATAAACACTTTCTGCCAAAATCCTTAAGCTTTAGAACAGGAGAGTCTTGAAGTGAAGTAAAGGAAGCAGCTGCCTGCAATTACATGTTTCTGACCACCTGGATCCCTCCCGTTGGTGATCCTGTGTTTATGCGCTTAGTTCTTGCAGCAGTGCCTGCGTAGCTCCTGTCACTCATCTGCTTTGTGAGCAAACAAAATACACATAGTGTTAAGAATTGACAACAATCACAGTTATGCTATTACTGCCTGACTAATCCTATAATAATGCACACTGGGATTTTGGTTGGAGCTACTAAGGGTCTGTGACAAACTGAAGATTATAAGTGAGTGGAACTCACCAAGGACATCACCAAAGAGGCAGAAGGAGCTGTGGCAGCAGTGTGTAAGTCTGTACAAAACTGGCCAGTGGGCAAAAGGAGACACTTAGAAAGAAATGTCATGGTTTCTAGACTCAAAGATGCTCCTGTACCATACCATAAGATTCAATGCATTTGCTGTTCATTTAAGAGAACAGACAGCATGCTATGGTTTTAGGTTTTTAATATAAGAAGGTCAGTGCCTTAGGAAGACATTTACCAGCAAAATACAAAATTGCCTGGGATAGGAGAATCCAGTGCTAGGAGACATAAATTTAATCCAAGTTTATTCAGTGAGGGCCAGGACTAAAGAAATTCATGTGAAGAAGATGAGAATCACAGAAGAAAATGTTCCAGATAATTTGAGATAGAAGGCAACATGTAAGGGAGGACACAGCTTTCTTAAAACCAAAATGCCCCATTACTTGAAGATTCTTCAGTACCATGTTTCCCAGAAAACACGATAGAATGGGTGGGAGGAGCCAGAGAGTGGCTGGGCACTCCACTTGAGAGTTTTTATATCCAAAGAGCTAAAAATCATTCAGGGTTTAGGTAGGGCTACAGTTCTTTGTTCTAAAACCATTTAGAGCCAGGAAGCCAGCATCAACATCTGTTCTTGTACGTTTCCTTTTCACTGGTTTCTAGCAAAACAGTTGTTCTTGTTCACTGAGGGTTACAAGATTCTGATACCCTTCCAACCCTCTTTTGAAATAATTGAAGCTAAGTTCTAAGTCTAGTGCAAGGCAATTCAGCTTCTCAGAAGATCTTCCAGGCATATTTATTTTTATTTATTTTTTCCTCACTATCTGATCTGTGGGCCTGTTAAATACAGGTCTGTGTCTGAGCCGGACACCCACTCGTTACTGCTTTCAAGCCAGAGATCAGAAAATGGATAAGGCTCTCCCAGGAGCCCCGTCACATAAATCGTGAGATCTTGGCCTCCAGTAAGCCTTGTCTTGCTGCCACAAACAGCAACAGTGTTAAAAACAGACAAGCTGGCCATTACAGATAAATTGTTTGGTAGTATAGCCATTTATGATCACATTTTTATTAGAATTAACAGACACCTGAGAACAAATATGTCAGTGTGTCAAATCCTTTTGTGGGGACTGTAAAGAAAAGTTGAGTGAGATGTGTATTAGCACCAGTAATTCATGGTAGCTCTTACTCTAGTGACTGCAGAAGTAAGGTCAATCTTCCAGCACGTCCTCAAAGACCTTGGGTATTCATTTAGCTTAAATCGCTCAGGGCTGGGATAGTGATGGACCTCTTTCTTCAGGAAGTCTCCATGAACTCAGAGTCTCTTCCTATGAAGTCTAGATTATGCTTTCCTTCTTCTTCCCAAGTGGCTAACGTTTCCATGGGGAAGATGCAAGAAAATTGATATTGCGGAATGACTATGCACATCGTTCTTTAATTCATTCATTAATTCATATTTTAGAACAATTTTTACTTATCCTTTTATCGACAGGGGACAACACTGATACTCAAAGTCTTTATTTTGAATTTTGTGTGCCTCGTTTTTCAATCTGGTCATAAGTATTTATGATTTGAGGAAGTTATCTCTCATTGGGAAAGTAAAAAGCAAATGATTTTTATTATTTTTCTCCATCCGTCCCCCACTCCTTTAAAAAAAAAGCAAGGAACACACAGTTAAGCACAATATTTAATACTATTCCCTTTCCCTGCCTGCGTTCTGCTATGAGAAGTCATGCAGCATCCTAAGTCAGAAAATGGTTTCAGATAGTGACACCCCAAAGGCATTTTTTGAAATTTCATTAGCTTCAATTACAGTAGATTAATATCTTCTCTGGGGTAATCAGTTATTTCAGACAAGTGTGAGAGAACAATGAAATTTAATTAAATACTGCAAAACTCACACTTTGGCTTCTCTGGATGGAAGGCACCAGTTTGAAACTAAAGCCAAAGTTGTACCTCTATCCAGTTTCTAAGCAAATCATTCCTGTTGGACAGATCAAGTTTTACTGAGTACCACTACTACTTTAGTGTTGGAGGGAGATGGAGCATTTCAGGTGACATAGATGAGGACCTTGTTTGCCAGCCGCCCCCCCAAAAAATCTAGTATATAGGGGGAACTAACAGGATAATCAGACCCTTAAAACCATAGTTTGTAGGGAAAAGTTAAAGAAACAAAGAACAGTTAGCTTGTAAAAGAACAAAATCATTAAATTTTACAGCTGAGAGAGAAACTCTAAACATCATTTTTCAGTTCCCTTCATTGTGCACATAAAATTCAAAGGACCTAATTAATGAAAGTTACAGAGCTAATTTGAAGCAATGCAGAGACTAGAACACAAGACTTCTGATTCCCAGGCCCCTGCATTCCTTTCATAAGGCCACATGACAGTCCATGTTCTTCCCATTCTATGAAGTGATAGTTACTAAGAAGCATAAAAGAAGAAAGGCTGCTATCATGAAATCAACCAATAACAAATGCTGGTGGGGCTGTGGGGAAAGAGGAACCCTGCTCCACTGCTGGTGGGAGTGTAGACTGGTGTAACTACTGTGGAAATCAGTCAGTATGGAGATACCTCAAAGGACTAGAACTGGAAGTCCCATTTGACCCAGCTATTCCCCTGCTGGGGATCTTCCCAAAGAATTAAAAGAATCATACCACACTGATATATGTGCACCCATGTTCATAGCAGCACAGTTTGTAATAGCTACAGCTTGGAAGCAGCCCAATTGCCCATCAACTGGAGACTGGGTAAAGAAAATGTGATTTTTTTTATAAAATGGAGTACTACTCCGCCATAAAGAATGAGAAACTAGAGAAATTTATAGCTAAATGGATGCATATCGAGGCAATAGTCTTAAGTGAAATAAATAGGACACACGTGTAAATACTGAATAGTTTCTCTAGTGTGAGAAACTGAAAGTGTAAATAAGGACTAAAAAGTATAATAGATAATGTGAAATAGGAAGAAAAGGCAAAGGGGAAGGGGAAGTGGGAGGGGTAGGGGAAAAGAAAGAAGGGAATGGAATTAATATGAGAGAAAAAATGGAAACAAAGTCTTTGTAGATAGGGAGGGATGGAGGTGTTGAATGGAAGGCAGGGGAATGGGGAAAAATAAGAACCAAAATAGATTATGTAAAAGTGCAAATTTCCAATGATGAATGTCATTATATATGTCATTGTATACCTTACATGTACCAATAAAATTAATTTTTAAAAAAAGAAGCATAAATAGTGGCTGGGGATTTTGCTCAGTGGTACTGCTCCTGTCTCGAAAGCGCAAGGTCATGAGTTCGATCCCTGGTACCAAAAAAAAAAAGAAGCATAAATAACACGAGAGCTTAAAGTACTCAGCATAGAGCCTGGCAAACAGGGGCAACCACTAAATGTTAATTCCTGTTCTCAGCAGTGTGCTTTCTACCATGACAGCCACTAAGCTGAAAGAAGACTGTGGCTAGAGTTGATAATCATTTTTAAATAAATGTCCATATATTTCTTCTCAGAAAGCTGGATGGGGACACGTGAAAATAATCATAAATTCATATAATAGCAAAATATTATAAATTCATATATTAGGAAAATGAAAGGGGAAAACCTTTCTAATGAATGCAGTTATCCAACAGTATAAAAGGCTGTTCTGGGAAGCGAGTTCTCATCATGGGCTCTATTCAAATGAGCCAGGTGGCAATCAATACAGGATTCCCTCCAGGATTCTCTTAATGAATGGTAGCCAGGATTAAATTACCTTTAAGAGTCTGCTTTTAACCTGCTGGCAATAGGAAGGAAGATTGTGTGTCCAGGGCAGTGTTTAGGAAGATTCATCTGATAGCAATAACAAATAGGGATGGGGGTGCTAACAGGAAGCTAGCTAAAAGTTGTAACATTTTGAACCATGAATGTAAAATGACAGAAAGATAAATGCTGGATCAACTACAAAAGCTTCCTGCTCCCATCTACATTTTTTTCACCTCTTGTCACAACACTGTTTACACACTGAGTCATGAAGCTCCTGAGAATTCTGCTCCATGCCAAGCTCTTTAAAACATCTCTTAATTGGTGCTTCTGCCAATCCCAGTGGCTACTCAGCAAGGACACTAAAGGATGGAGGTTCTGACAACTGGATAAATATGAGTCAGAAACAGAGTGTATGCTGCTGAGAAGCAGCATATTTTTCTAATTGTTACTTCTTCCCTCCTTAGGTTATGTGGACATTGGACTCATTCCCAAAGGAGCAAGGGACATAAGGGTAATGGAAATCAAAGGAGCTGGAAACTTCCTGGCCATTAGGAGTGAAGACCCTGAAAAATATTACCTCAATGGAGGGTTTATTATCCAGTGGAATGGGAACTACAAGTTTGCTGGGACCATCTTTCAGTATGACAGGAAAGGGGACCTTGAGAAACTGATGGCCCCAGGCCCCACCAATGAGTCAGTGTGGCTCCAGGTAATGCAGAGGGGAAGGGAACTGCGCACATGTATGCTACTTAGCACCTTTCTAGTTTCTTTTGTAAAGCATTTACTAGGAGCATTAAGTAAGAATAATTAAAACTTCTTTTAGCTAAGAACCAAGATGGAAATGAAATATTTGTGTTCTTCATCTTTTATTGCCTAGAAATTGCTAAAACTCCCATCATAAATTATATATATCTAGAATGTACCAATAAAAAATCCTAAAATAAAAGGTCCTGAAGTTTTAAAAAAAATGCCAGGGGCTCTAAAACCGCCCATTGGAAAGTTTGTGTTGTTTTGGGGATGATTTGGTTGAACATAGTTATTTTTCAGGTATGTAAAGGATGCCGTCAGCCTATTGTCAGTGTGGCATGAATTTCCAAGTAGCTTCTCTGCCCTCATGATGAACTGACATGCTATCATATGGTTGTCCTCAACAAAGGTTTTGTCTTTCCGAAGCTCTTGGAGGAGGGCTTGAGATGTATCATGTGGTCTTCAAAGACACACAAGTTTTGTCTTTCATATTGGGCACAGAACTATTAAAAATATGGAATGATTATACTAGTCTAGGCAAGACAAACTGGGGATGACCCATAGCCCAAGACACTTAGATCCAGCCACATCCAAACATTGGAAGGAAGTAATATCAGAGCCAGAGGCCAAATCATCTATGAAAGCAGAAGGTCAAGGTTGGCAGCCGTGGTCCATGAATGTCAAGAGTTCTTATATCTATCTGACCTGCCCACAAGAGCAAGGACTTACTGGTGGGAGCCCCAAACTCACAATAAATCTATCACCTCCAAGTTTAGGGTGAATCCCTTTTAAATATGTGGTAAGTACATTGCCTGAAAATGAAGTGAAGCATGGCACACCTTATCTAAACCTCCTGACCAGGTTTATCCCAGAACAACTATACATTAAAGGAGCTAATCAGCCATACTGCTAGGGAAGAGAATCATAAGACAACATAATACATATAATAAACATTTATTAAGTTCTAATTTCATATCATGTTCTAATCATTTTATATATATTTACTTGTGTAGCCCTTGTGAAAACCCCACTAGTAGGTAGTATTATTATCCTCACTTTGTATATGGAAAAATTAAGGCATTTATTTATATTCACAAAGGCAGTAAGTACATAAGGACTCAAGGTAACCTGTCAGCTGGTTGTTGAAAAGGACACTCCTTGCCATTCCCTCAAAATAATGTCCACATGATGGAACCTCCCCATCTATAGGAATGAAAATTCCCAGGGGAATTCAGCCAAGAAATAACAGAATAGAGAATATATAGATACATAGAGAGATAAAGGCTGAGAGGTAGATATACAAATAGAGACATACAAATACAGATCCATTTAATGGAATCTTTTCCAGTGCATGGTACTACTTGTAGATGATGGACACTTGTGTAGCACTTTTACATGACTGAGGTTTGCAGACTTAAGTCATGACAGAGTTTGACAAGGCCCCTCTCTTGCCTTTTAGCTCCTCTTCCAGGTGACTAACCCTGGTGTCAAGTATGAGTACATAATCCAAAAAGATGGTCTTGACAATGATGTGGAGCAGCTGGTGTATTTCTGGCAGTTTGGCCGCTGGACAGAGTGCAGTGTAACATGTGGAACGGGTAAGAAACTGCTGCTGTCTCTAGGAATCTATCCCAGCTTCCTACAGTGGGCCAGAGGTGATCAGAGGCAGAGGTTTGCAGTCTGTGCACATGGTCCTGCAGAGTTCCACAGAGGTGGTCCTGAAGTCACCTAGAAAATTGAACAGCCTTAGCCAGTGTGAATCAGACATATGGTTTTGTTACAGCCTCCTCCAGCAGTAGTACCTCTACCTACCTGGGTAAATGTCATTCTGATTATTAAACCTAAATGGGAATTATCATAGTGTCCACATGCCTACCTGAACCTCAGCCACACTGCCTATTTGAGTTACAGTGAATTCTCTTGCACTGGCAGAGAAAAAGAGCATATCTATTTTAATATCAACAGAGAGAATGAAATACTAATATTCACACAAAGATGCACCTTTTGAAAACTAAAGATGGAAAATTGCCTGGAACACTGAATCATTCAGTGATGGATTTGTGTGTGTATGTGACTGGAAATTGAATCCAGGGCCTCTCCCTGAGCTGTATCCCTAGCACTTTTTAAATTATAGACAGGGTTTAGTAAGTTGCTAAGAAGCTCAGGCTGTGTTTGTACTTGCACTCCTCCTGCCTCAGCCTCCCAGAATGCTGGAATTACAGGAATCCACCACCACACTTGGCTTGGATTTTTATTTTAAGTCAAAACTTTCTACACTTTAAAAATAAATTAAACCCATTACTGAAAAAATGAAAAATAAAATCATCACCCTAGCAGATACATTTGGGTACTTTGTACAACTGTTCTGTTTTCACTTTCATTATAGTTCCAATATATTACACGAGACATTGACCACTTTATTATAAAATAGGCTTTGTGATAGATGACTTTGCCCAACCCTAAGCTAAGGTAAGTGTGCTGAGCCCATTTAAGTAGACAAGGCTAAGCTGTGTTTGGTAAGGGAAGCATATTAAGTGCATTTTTGACTTATGTTATTTTTGATTTACCAGTGGGTCTATCGAGACATAATTCCCATCCTAAGCCAAGGAGCATCTGAATACAGTTGTGTAGAAAAGGACATATTTATGTACATATATGTGTATATTTTCACCTAGCATCACAAAGGGTATATAAGGATACTTTTTCATGTTTTCTACAGTCTTTATAGTGATCCTTTTATGGATAATGCATTATATTTTGTTGTAAAGATAAAGCAAAATTTTCCTAACCAATTCCTTCTTGATGTTATTCAGATGAACATCTATGGACCGTGTAAAATGTAATCTCCTTAGTTTTCATTTTTATGTGAAATTTCTAGCCACAAAGAATGTAAATATTATGACAGTCTTAAGAAACTTATTGCTAACTTGATTCCATAATGAAAAGGTTACAAGTAGGTAGGAGTAATCATTTTTTATTGTTGTACTATTTCATTTTTAAACTTTTTAATGGGAAACCCTTCAAATACTGCATTTTTCAAAGCAAAATAGGGAATATAATAATATATTCCTGTTTACCATGCACTCAGCTTTATCAGATCTTATCTTTGTGTCATGTTTGTTTCCATTTTCTTTTCAAAATTTGTGCCTCTGACAGTGTGCTGAGTGGACTGGATTATAGTAGATGAGGAGCATTCATGAGGAATGCTTCCCATAATCTAAATGAGGGAACATGAATTTCCTTCTATTCCCAGTTTATTACATCTTTCATTATAAATGAGTATTGAATATGTCCAATATTTTTATCTACTGACATGATTCTATGCTATTTTTCTAGTTATATGCTAATCTGATTATTCCATGAGTAGATTCTCTATTATCAAACTCTACTGGCATTCATTAGATAAGATAAAGTTTACTTAATATGATATAAATTTGTACATATATATATTATTGAGTTCTGTTGGCAAATATTTTATTGGAACTTTTACATCTATTTTCATGAATAAGATCTGTCCTTAATATTCTCTTCCAGTGTTCCCCTTGTTTTGTTTGGATCATAATTATAATAAACTCATAAATGAGTTGAATTACTTCACCTTTTGCTGCAACTCTATATAAAATAAGACAAATGATACTTTGTATGCATCGCTATCTTTACTTTCTAAGACACTTCCCTGGTGGTTCTAATCAGTTCCATTTGGTTTGATGAGGGTGACTCCGATTCCTGTGCACCTGTCCTCACGTGGGACTCTCACATGCATTCAAGGGCTGGCTGCCTGCAGATCACGTGGTTAGAGTGGGCACAGTGGGGTCCATGGTGAAGACAGCTCATCCTTAGTGTTCTCAGTGCTTCTTCTTGCCCTTCTGGATCAAAAAGTACTCCTCTTTCCCACTTGTGTTGTTCTCATTCATATTATTCTTTCTTCCTGCTGAGTAGCCATCAGTCTTCCCTTAAAAATGCATTCTGGTAATTATCTCCTGTAATTGTGTAGAATCTTGACTGGTTCCATGGCTCTCCTCATTCTTAAATAACAGCTGGTCCCATTAATGTGCCATGGTGGTTACGTCATGGCCTCTGGAACCAGATCATCTACATTCAAATCGCAGTTTAACCAGTTATTAATGGTGTATCCTTGCGTCATGTCCACATATCTCACCTGCTTCGCCTGTAACTGTGAGATACTGCCATGTCACATCTACTTCACATGGTTGGTTTGGGAATTAAATGAGTTACTATGTGTAAACTGTAATTATTTTAAAAATCCAGAAAATCCTCAGCAACTATTTAAATATTACTTTTTGGGCTCCAACAGCTTGCGACCAAGACAAGCTTGCAACCAAGACAGGGTGAGGAGGACCCCCCCACACTCGGGCACACTCACCAGCCCCAGCTTGGCTGTGCAGGTGCCTCCAACAACAGGCCCTGCTCCCCACCCTCTGGCCTTCTGGCTGTGCAGCTACTTGGTTCCACACTGCAGAGGCACAGAGGGACATAAAAGCCATTGTCCTGAGCTGCAGAAGTGAACAACAGAAAGAAGGCCTCTCTCAGGCTCCATGATGAAAATAAGCCCACTGAAAAAGTGAAGAAAATCTCTGCAATAAAGGCATATCAGACCACCATGCTTGATAAGTTGGAGGGATCATCAGCTCCCATCGGAATGTGGACTTTCTTCAGGGGAAAGACAGCTGAAACCTGCAATAGAATGTTGCAGAGTGCAACCCTGCAGGAGGACAGGGAGCTCAACTTGGGACTTGCAGCCAGAAATCTGCCTGAATCTCATGGGTCTGGGACTACTTACTGAGACTCATTGACTTATAACTGTACACTGCTGCCCACATGGTCTATTGTGACAGCAGAGACATACCCTGAAGGAGGCCCTTCATTTTTAAAGGTGATAGATTAATAACTACCACAAATTGTCATTTTCTAATAATGTATTTGATGCCATGGTGTTGCTGATTGTATCACTTGGGCTAAGATGTTATGATTGATATAATCAGTTGTACTTCCTGGTATAATGAAAATGACATAGCCTCAGAGCCATTAGAGACTCAAAACCTAAAGAACAGCTATATCTGGAAGATACCTCTGAGAAGCAATCATTCCATAAGGGTTATAAATACATCAACAAAGATACTTACAATAAGCAACTTCAAAATATCAACCCAGGAACTAAACCAAAGACAGTACCAAAAACAAAAATTAGAAGACATTTAAGCAAGGCACAAACTCAGATTTCCACACCCCAAAAGGCAAATTCTGGGGGAAATGAGGTGGAAAAGTCTGATAATCAACCACCTGGACACCCTGAACTGATAGCACAGGAAGTAACAAAACAGATGAATGAGGCTCTAGAAAAATTCAAAGCAGAAATAATCTCCCAGATAACTACAGAGATGGTGAGCAGAGTGAAAGACATGATTAGAGGCTCTAGAACAGAAACTGATAAAAAAAAATAGATGAGCTCAGAATCATACTGGAAGCCATGAATGCCCTGCATAAGAAAGAAATAGAAACCATGATCGCCAAACATAAGAAAGAAATGGAATCCATGAAACAGATTCAAACAGATATTCAGGAGATTAAAAACTCCATTGAAAGCATGCAGAGCAGATTAAGAGAATCTGAAAATAGAATATCAGATATAGAAGACAGGATGGCAGTGAAGGACTATGAAAACAGAGATTTTTTAAAAATAATAAGGGACCATGAGAAATTAATTCAGCAGCTGCTAGATGATGCAAAGAAGAATAACATAAGGCTGATAGGAGTCCATGAAAAAACAGGAGAAAGTACAATTGACATAAAAACTATTGACAGAAGTAATAGCAGAAAATTTCCCAGACAGTGGTAGAGAATTGGGCATACAGATAAGTGAGGCATATAGAACTCCACCTAGCCATGATCAAAAAAAAATCTACACCTAGATATATAATAGTCAAGATCCCAGAAACCCAACAGAAGAACAAAATCCTATAGGCAGTTAGAGAAAAGAAGCAAATCACCTATAGAAGAAAGCCCACCAGAATCATGGCAGACTTCTCAACACATACGCTCAACTCAAGGAGAGCATGGAATAAAGTATTTCGAGCCCTAAAAGAAAGTAACTTCCAACCTAGATTGTTGTATCCTCCAAAATTATCTTTCAAAATCGATGGGGAAATTAGATACTTCCATGACAAAGAACACCTGAGAAATTTCATGAACACCAAACCAGCACTCTAAACAATTCTAAGCAATGTCATAGAAAAAGGCAATTATACCTCCATGAGGCTCAACAGAGGGAAGCCACCAGGCAAGGTAAGAAACTAAAGGGAAAGGGGGAAAAAGAAATAAGAGCCAACAGTAGTAAAACATCATGACAAGGATGAATCAATATCTATCAATTATAACTATCAATGTTAATGCCCTCAATTTACCAATCAAAAGAAGTAGACTGACAGAATGGATTAAGAAGCAAAAACCAGTAATATGCTGTACACAAGAAACATTCCTAACTCAAAAAGAAATTCATAGACTGAAAGTAAAAGGATGGAAAATGGCTCTCCACCTGACAGGAACCCAGAAAAAAGTAGGGGTAGCAATCTTATTTGCA